CTTTCAGCCACTGGCTAGGCCACAGACACCCCACCCCCGCCCCCAGGGCCTTCCTCCGGAGCTAGGCTGCTCCTGGCCACCCCAGCCCTGGCAGAGGTTCTGCATCTCCTCCCCACCCCCTGCTCCAAGCCCACACCTTGCTCTGCCCCTTCTCTCCCCTCTCGCGGAGCCCCTGGCCCCCTCACCCACCATAAATCTGTAGCTCTGCGACGTGTGTGTGGATGTGGGGAGGGGGCCGCGGTAGGAGAGCAGCAAACCAAACCAACCCCAGCTAATGAAAACGGCGATAAATCTCTGTCTATCAGGTTTGTTGTGAGCACAAACATTGCCAAACAAGGGCCCAGATGGCCTGCAGGCCCTCCTCCCCACAGTCTGCAGAGCTTCAAATGGAAACGGTTGCTTTACATGTCTATTTACTGCTTGGAAATGGGATGATTGAGACCAGGGGTGCCTAGCCAGGAAATGGGGGAGCAGACCAGGTGGGAACCCTCTGTCCCCCACACCTGAGCGGGACCCTGCTGGCCAGTCCTCAGGCTCCTCTCTGACAGGCCATCAGGTGGTGAGGGGAAGACACTACCCCCACCCTGGCTAGTATTCAGGCCTCATAGTGCCATCTCGGTTTGCCCCAGGACACAATCCTGCCAGCCAGGCCCAACCCCTTGCTGTTGTTTGTGAGGTTTTTCAGCCCTGCCTAGAACTTTCCCTCTTTTCCATCAGTCCCTTGGAAGTCTACCCTGCCTTCAAGCCCAAGTCAAACCCACCTCCTCCAGGAAGTCTTCCCACCCCTATTCCTCTGTGCTGAGAGCCCCACATGGTCCTATGTGTCATTATGAGGTGGCTGCTTGGGAGGAGGACAAATCTGGGCACACAGCCAGGCTTCACCGCTCAGCCAAGGCATCTGGCCAGGATAATCTCTGAGCCTCAGTTTCTTACTCTGTAAAATGGGTAAAATCATGGTGCCCACCTCACAGCAAGGTTGTGAGGACTAAATGAAGCCAGCGTAGAACAAAGTGCACCCTGCAACATGTTGGCACCATCCTGTCATGGCGCCCTATCAGTTCAGAGATACGTGTCTGTTCTGGTGTGGGTTCCCCTGAAAATAGACCCCGAGACAAGAACTTGAGTGCAGGTAGTTTATTGTGGAGGTGATCCTTGGAAGCTGGAGGGAGGAAATGGAAAAAATTAGATGGGAAAGGGGCAGGTAGAGTGGTACATGCCTGTCACCCTAGTTACTCAGGTGGCCGAGGCAGGAGGATTCCAAGTTGGAGGCCAGCCTGGGTGAGTTAGCAAGATCCTGTTTCAAAATAACAAGTAATTAAAAGGGATGAGGATAAATAAAAAGAAGCTCAGTCGTGAACTTCTCCTGAGTTCAGTCCCTAGTACCAAAAGAAGAGAATGAGAGAGAGAGAGGAAGAGAATCGAGAAAAGCCGTGAAGCGTGGTTACTGAGGGAGTTACCCCGCGGGCTGTGGGTTTCCTAAGCAATGATGAGAAAACCCCATGCCACTGAATTTCCCCCAGGCTGGGCATTTGTCTACCCCTTTCTGTCCCTTGTTAATTAGATAAGGGTTGCCCCTGGGACCTGAAATCCCTGACACCTCTCACCTACCCTGTGGGCTGATAAAGCTCCTGCAGGTCCAGCCCTGAGAAACCTGCAGGGGAGAGGCAGAATGGCTGCTTGGGGTGGACCGACCTGGGGCTCCCCATTACAGCAGCAGAGGGACTGAGCAGTGGCCCTAGAGGATAGAGGTGTCCCTCCGCTTTCCATCCCCCGTGTGCTCTAGTGTAGTATTTTGCATGCACTTGGCGCACTGTAATTATTTGAGGACCAAAGGTGGTTTAGGTGAAGAGCTGGGAAAACTTGGACTTTCCCCACTGCTCAGTTATTAATTCACTGTGTGATGCTAGGAGAGCACGTGACCACTCTGGGCCTCATCTTCTGTAAAATTAGGAGCTTTCCACCTTCTCTACTTAGGACACAATCTATTGGGGATGGGTTGGGATGGTCTTGGGGTGTGTGTAGCGGGGAGGTGCTCAAAACAGGAAAGTGGGCTGTGATGATGTGGGGGAGGAGGGTTCCTCTTTCCAGGCCTGATTCAAATAAGAGGTGTGAGCACCCTGTTACTTGCTTACACACCTGACCCTACTGGGATGCCTCCTGTTCCTTCCTATCCCTTGACAACCTCAAAGGTAAAAGGATCAAGAAAGAAAAGTCCAGGGGTCTAAAACTTGCTGACTCTTTCAGTGCAAAGGACCCAATATTCCCTGTCTGCCAGGGCTGCTCTGTGTTTCCTTATTTCTTTCTCTCCCTTTTCTGATAGTGCTGGGGATCAAACTCGGGGCCTCCTGCACAGCTAGGCAATTGCTCTATCAGATGCACCCCAGCCCAGCTCCTTATTTTCAGATTCATGGTGGGTTTTGCCAATGGCTGATGACTATGGAAACCATTCAGTACAGAAATTCTTAACTTTGGGGTCTTAAAGTCCCTAGAGGCCCCATGGGTAAGCTTTAGGAGTTCCCAAATCCCTTGAAAATGTGTACAACTGAGTGTGTGAGAATGTGTGTACACGAACCGCTCTAAATTGGTGACCTGGGGCTTCTAGCAAAATCTCAAAGGAGTCTGTGAGCCAAGAAAAGTAGATTTGCTCTTGCCAGAATCTCCTCTCTCAGGGGGGTGGGGGTGGGGGGAAGATACTGAAGTCCAGAGAGAAGAAGTGACCTGCTGATCACATTAGGTCGCTAATCTTGTGTGGTTGTGTGGGTCAGTTAGAATGCACAACCAGAAAAGCAGGCTACCAAGGGGCAATACCCACAATACACCACAGTGCCTCCTTGCTCCTGGGGAAACATCGCAAAGACACCATACAGTCACTATTCCCCGGGATTGAGGTGATTGCTGAGTCTATTTCCATGGAAAACAAAACAAGGAAAAATGGGACCAAGTGTAGCAGGGTAGGTGGGTGGGGGGAGGAACTGTTTGAGAAAGAATGTTGGAACAGGGACCTTAAAACCTGAATTAAGCCAGAGTTTGATGGTGCACATATGTAATCCCAGTTCCTCTGGATTACAGTTTTAAGTCAACCTGGGCAATTTAGCAAGATCTTGTCTCAATATAAAATAAGAAGGGCTGAAGATGTAGTTTAATGTTAAGAGCACTAGCCTATCATGAGTGAGGCTCTGAGTTTAATCCCCAGTGAAGAAACTAAAACAAACAAACAAACAAACAAACAAACAAAACGAGTTAAGCTTGGGCACTTTGGTGGGCCTCAGTTTTCAGATGTGGAAAGGAAAATGAAAATCATGCTTCATCTAAGTTGTGGTAAAGATTACAGAAGACCTAGTGAGTGGAAATGGCTTATAAAAAGGAGAAAGTCACGTAAATGCCAGTAATGATCATTACAGCATAGGCCTGGTGAGTGCTTTTTCTGCTGCTGGGAGTGAATTGTATACCACCTGGATGCCAATTACCCACTTTTGGACAACTGTCGTTTTCTTTCAAGCCCTAGAAGCCTGGTATTGGAATATGAGGCCTGCTTTTGGAGTCAAACCTGAATCTGCGCCTCCAATAAATCATCTGTGCATGTGTATGACCTGAGCAAACTCTTCTCACCTCTGTGTCTCAGACTGTCCATCTGCAAAATGGGACACACGCCTGCCTCATTAGGACATTATGAGGATTTGATGAGTTAGTACAAATGAGAATACCATAACAGTGACCAGCAGAGAATAATTGCTCAATAAGTATTAGCTATTTTGTTTCTGTTCAACAGTTTGTAACTTTGGATGGTTTGTTGACTGTACAGTCTCTGCCTCACCACATCTCTGTCTTCTCCACTAAAACGCAAGGTCTTCCGGCACAAGTATGTGCTGGTCTTGTTTACAGCTGTATCCCTTAGGCCCAACACACAGCGTGCAGCAGATATGAGTGAAAGTGTAAAAGCACATTTTTTGAGATTGAGAAGGAACTCTGACAATGTGATACCACTCATCAGTCTGGACCAGCCCCAAGGGGGACCAGGAGCTGTGCCAAGAACCCTAATAGGGATCAAGAGAGTTGGCCTCTGGTCCTAGCTTTGTCACTTAACTGCGGAGCCACCTCAGGCAAGTCTCGGCCCTCTGGAGCCTTCTGTGTGCTTCCTGCAGAGCGTGGGAGCCCTGGTGTTGCAGGGCTTCCCCCCAGAGGCTGGCCTCCGAGGAGCTCCAGCCAGCTGGGGAGTGTGGGATTTCGGGATAATTCAGCCACTTAATTAATGAAGAGGAAGGAGAAGTGAGAGAGGATAAAGGCGGGGAAGGGGAGCAATCCCGGAAGAAAAGTCAACACTCGGCTGGGCTGCGGCGCTGGGCAGCTGCGGGCTGCGGGAACGCCCCGCTGGGCCCAAGCCCGGAGCGGCTGTGCGCGCCCCCGGAGCGTATCTCCGCCGCGGCGTGTGCGCCGGAGCCTCCGCCAGCCCCTCCCTTCCTTGCGCGCCTCGCCAGTTCCCGCCGCCACTGACTTTCTGACTTCTTAACTTGTCAGCAAATCCCAGAGTTAAAAATGCACACGCACCCCGGCCAGCCGCCAGCAGGGCCGTCTGGCCGCGGCTCCAGATGTGGGGCCACCGCGCGGGCCGCCCGCCCCGCCGCGCAGACTAAACAATCGGCCTTGGCCGTGAGCGCGGCGCAATTCCAGATGCCGCGTCCCTCGCGCCGCGCGCTAATTGGGCCGCGGGCGCGAGGCTCTGTCAGCGCCGGGAAGGCCCTGCCCGGGGCGGCCTTGGCCCGGCGCCCGCCCGCTGGGCTACCTAGGGCGGGGGCGGAGTGGGGAGACCGAGTGGAACGGGGAGGGGGGGCGGAGGGAGGAGAAGAGAGGGAGGGAGGGAGAGAGTCAGAGACTCAGACTGAGATCAGAGACCGAGAGACACGTGAACTGGCCAACAGGAAGGGACAGAGACGTTCCCGAACAGAGATACCGAGACAAAGAGAATCAAAGCACTGAGCTGTGTTCAGATTGAAGAGCCAGAGCCAGACAGGGGGAGAGAGACGCGCGGAGCTGGAGAGGAACAGGCAGGGAGCGCCCAGTGGAGAGCCCCAAAGATCAGGAGAAGGAGACGCACGTGGGCGCGACCGCGAGAACTCGGGTCGCTGCCGCGCCCCGGGGGTCCTCGCCTTTTGTTTCATAGCCCCTCCTCCCCACTTTATCACTTTTGATAGTTCTCCCTAGACCCGGGCAAAGACGGGGACTGAGCCTGCCCACGGTGGACCTAGGCCTAGCCTGGCTCGGCGACGGCACGGAGGAGGCGCCCTCGTCCCCAAGGGACAGTGAAGCCTGGAAATTTCACCCCCAAGCCTTGGCTTGGACACAGGGATTCGCCCTGGACGCGGGACTCTTTGGGGTTTGCCTAGAGGCAGAGGGAGGCCCTCAAATGACTCCTGCGGGGGACCTTATCTCCCCAGGCAGCCACTCCGGCGACAGCCTGCTTTCCCAAGCGCCCTGGGGCCTCCTCTGTCCCGAGACGGAGTGACAGGTTATCCAAAGCCCCAGGCAGGGAAGCCCACGGGGACCACCCGGGGGGACCCCCGCCCCCCACCCCGGCCTTGTGTTCCGCCCCCGCCAGGAGGCCCGGGCTGCCCGGGGGTGAGCGCGGAGGGCAGTGCGGCGGCCGGGCAGCTCTTGGCGGCCCCTCTCTGACAATCTTTCCTTTGTTTGTTTTCTTAAATCTGGGAGGCCCGAATTCCTGCCGGATTCCGTAGGTTTCACTCAGGAAGGAGGCGCCCCCACCGCCACCACCCCCCTCACGTCGGGCCTTGCTGCGGGGGGAATGGCAGGTTCTGCCCGGAGGCCAGCAGCGCGCAGCCCCGCGGCCCCGGCTGGGCGAGCGGGTGCCGGGCGCGGTGGAGAGCCCCGGGCTCCCTGCCCCAGTGCGCCACCACGCAGTCCCGCCGGAGAGCCGCGGGCAGCCTCCGCAGAGCAAATTCTTAAAAGAAAAAAAAAAAAAAATCAAACCGGGGAACGCTTTAAAAGACACAAAGAGCAGCCCTACCCCCACCCCAGCCTCATTCCACACCCCTCCGCCCCGCACACTTTCTCTCTCTCCTCTTCTCTTTTATTTTGGTCTCCAAACTTGAGCCTCATTAATTTCCAAAAAAAATTTCCCCCAATAAAAGGCAAACATGGAAAGAAAAACAAACTATTAGAAAATAGAGGAGGGAGGAAATGTTATTTAAAAGGTTAGCAGACCGCATCATTTTCCAATGATATTATATACTCCCAGCAGTATCCAAAATATATATGGGCCCTGGGCCAAGAATGTAAAAAAACTTTTTTTTTTTTTTTTGAAAAAAACCCTCACTTAGACACAACATCTGGACCCGAGAGCGAACAAACCCTCCATTTATCACACTTAATCCTCCAATGAAGCAATCGACAGTTGACTTCTGTTTTGCTAATTTAGCTGCTTTCAAGAGCCGGCCCAGTCCAGACCGGGAATTAAGTGTCACTTGCGGAGGGCCTGCCCTACCCCCGCCGGTTTTCGCTCCCTCCCGCGCCCAGGGACGCGGACGGGGGGGGGGGGAAGACCATTAAAGAAAGAAAGAAACTTTTTACGAATTCTCTTTACCCCCGCCCACTCGGGTCAATGAAAATCTCGACTCTGCCCTGGCTCTGCCCCCTCGCTCAGCACCCTGACACCCACTCCCTTGGCGCCCCGCCTCCACCCGCCAGCTGCTTACCCGGGTCAGACTCCCTGGAGCAATGGCATCGCCGCTGGCACCAACGTCAGCAGCTCTCGGCGGTCACCCTGGTTGATGAGGAGCTGCCAGCCTACCTGGCACTCTCTGGTGGCCTGGCAGCTTGACCCTTAGGGCAGCCGTTAGAGGGCAGGGGAGGGTCTTGGTGCCTGGAGGCTGGGAACCTTCATTCCTCCCGGAAGTGGATGAGAGGCCGAGGCCCCCCGAGGTGGAGGCCCTGGGCCAGCGGTGTCTGGAGACAATAGGATCTTGTGAGAGTGCAAGCAGAGAGAGAGTAAATCAGGGAGAGTGTATCATTTGAGGATTAGTCAATAAATCCCTGGGACCCTGGCCCAGTGGGGCTGCTGCCAGAGGCAGGGCTGGCCCCAAGTACACACTTCCTTCCTCCGCAACCTTCCCTTTCCCTCTCCAGAGGCCTCCTGAGTCTTTCCCCTCACCTCTCGGTCCATCTCAGTCTCCTTGGCTTCTCTCCTGAACTTTGAAGGCCAAGACTCAGCCTTTTGTTGGTGTCGTGTGTCCCCCCTCCCCCCTGGGACAGCTCTATAATGGACCAGGAAAGGTTGCTGGGGTTCTGTCCTCAGGCACCTGCCAAAGAAGAGGTTGGAGAATATGTTCCAACTCCAGCCTGTCCACTCTTCTTCACTGTGATCTGGCCCACTGCAGACCCCAGCTGAGTCTTGGCTGAGGCCCCAGGGACAGCATGCATTCCTGAGAGGCTCCCCACACCCTGGATCCCAACCTCCTGAGGTTCCCATGGTGGCCTGCCTAGGCTTCAGACTTCCCGGGGAGGGGCCCTGCATTCTGGCCCCAGTCCTGGTGTAGTCCCAAACCTTCTGAGACCACCCTCCAGGGCCCATGGAAGCCTCCTATCTGGAGCATCGTTCAACAGGCAGGTACGAACTTTTAGTCTATGCCAGGCAGTGTGCCCGACTCAGGATATAGAGATGGATGAGATGATTCTCTTGCCCCTCCCAAGGGGCTGAAGTCTCTACTGAGCCTTATATTCTGTTTACATGGGGCTATCCCACTACCTGGCTACACTGGGTCCATAGATAGTCATTGAGTATTTCCCATGTGCCAGACACTGCTAGGCACTGAGGCTTTAGGGACGACGGGAGACCATTTCTGCCAGGGAGACAGACATGGCAACAACTAATTCTAAGACAAGGCAGAAAATAAGGCCCAACGGAGGCATTTATAAGAGTTTTAAGGTATGCCCGGAGGAGGGGCTCAGTAAAAAGCAAAGGGGCTGGGGGAAGGAGGGCTGTTGATGGTGGTGAGGTTGGGAGGGGGAACCTTCTTGCAGCTGCTGTAGCTATTAAAACCTGTGTGTGTGTGTGTGGGGGGGTACAACCTAGTGGCTGAGAGATGGTGGCCAGGTGGTGTGGTTCAGCCTTCTGTTCCACCAGGTCAGTTATGAGATCCAGGGCCTCTTAGTCTCTTTGAACCTCAGTTTTATCATCTGAAAAGTGGGTCTGATAATGGTAAGTCCCTTGTGGGCATGTGAAGTGAGCATAGCGGGTAAGAAGCAGAATACAGTGATCTCTGAATGAGTGTCCATGTCAATGAACTTTCTTCCAAAGGATATGGACACATTACCTTGTAGCCTCTTTGCCACCCTGTCCTTGTCTCCCTCTCCAATGTGAGGACCTAGTACAGAGCCAGGCACACAAAGGGAGAGGTGGAACAAATGGATGGGCAGACCAGATGTCGCGCTCCCATTTGAATGCTTGTCTGTGTGAGGTCCTGGGTTCAATTCAGAGAACCTCCCCCCAAAGATGGGTAAACTGGAAAACCCATCCAACCTTGGCTCAGTTGACACTAGGTAGGCAATGTTGCTCGTGGTGGATGGTAGGCCTGTATCATCTCCCTGCTTGGCTACTGGTCATCACCTGCCTGGGCCATGATACCTGTTTTTCCTGTTCTCATGACTCTAGAAGCCAAGCAGAGCAGGACCCTCTGAAGCCCCCTTTTTGTCCAGCTCAGTAAAAAGCCAAGAAATGTCTTCTGGCTTGAAGCCATTATTCTGTGATTCTGTTTGGGCCAAGTATAGGCTTGCAGTGTGTCCTTAGGCAGCGTGTGTCCCCTCTCTGGGCCTTGGACTTCTTGGAGGTAAAGTGAGTAGGTGGACTGCCTGTGCTCCAGGCTCCTTTTTGACCTTTATTTCTCCTCTCCCCAGGGGACCTCCCCTTCCCTGCTGGAGCTGTGGTTTCCCACCCTTCCATTTCTCCCCTGCACCTTGGCTTTTCTCTCTGGTGTCTTCTCCTTCTCTCTTCTTGCTTCCCTGGGCCACCGTCCTCTCTCTCCACCTCTTCCTCTGCCACAGTCCTAGGGAGCAGAGGGTGTGTGGATAAAGCGATTCCTCCTGGCTTCCTGCGCAGCTTCCACCTCCCACCTCTACCCAGCTTCCTGGCCCCTAAACACAACCTGCCCCCTTGGATCCAAGTCTGTGTCAAAGGCCTTGGTGATGCCCTGACCCTTGAATTTTTCTTTTCTTTTCTTTTTTTTTTTTTTTTTTTTGTTCTGGGGATCCAACCCTGGGGCCCTTTACCACTGAGCTACATCCCCAGCCCTTTTATTTATTTTTAAATTTTAAGACAGTGTCTTGCCATGTTGGTGAGGGGCTAAGTTGCCCAGGCTGGCCTTGAACTTGGGATCCTCTACCCCAGTCTCTGGAGTCTCTGGGATCACAGGTGTGCGCCACAGCACCCAGCAACCCTTGACTTCCGACCTGTGGCAGAGTGGGCGGATGGCATTCCATCTGGACCAGAAAGTGCTTAATATGGGTCTTCTGTCCCCAGAGATTGGCAGGCTCCATATTCCCATGCTCCCCCACCCCACCAGCCCTGATCCCGGCCTCAGGGTAGGGACAGGAAAGTAAGCCTTTTCTAAGTCTATCTGACCCACCTGTTTCACACTGTCCCTCACCTCTGGAGCTGGGAGAAGCCCTTTACAGAGGTCCACATGCTTGGAGGTTATTATTGTCACCAAGGAAACACCTACTATGGCCAGGACCCATTTCCAGACAACCTACTATGGGCCAGAGACTGTGTTATGAGCCAAGAAGAGGTAGGGGGAGAAGAGACTGAGGCAGGACAAAGGCTGGACACAGTCCCCAAGGAGGTGCGCGGCTGCCAAACCTGGAGCTCGTGGGCAGAGGGTTTGGCAGTGCCTGTGCGTGGGCCCAGCTGGAGTGGCACCTGAGACAGAGCCAGGTCCCGGGGGCAGGTAAACAGGACGCTGTGTTCTGGGTGTGGTGGAGAGGGGGAGGGGACTGGGGGACACAATAGGCCATTCATTGTGTGCTCAGGAGTTGCTCTTGAGCACTCTTGGACTCTGGGCTTCCCCTTCCTCTCCACCACCCTCCTCCGGCTGGGCTGAACAAATACCAAGACATATGGAAGGTGCAGCCACAGATACTGTGTATGGAAATGAGAGTTATCTGCTTTGGATCCTTGTGCTGTTGCCTAAACCATAATAGACTGAGGTGTTGTGGTGTGTGCGGATGGCCCAGCCCGGAAGGGACAGGGTATGACTGGCAGAGATCAAACCAAGTCTGGTGACTAGGCTCTTGTCTCAGGCACACCATTGGCTGGTTGTGTTTGTCCTTAGGAACATCACACCACTGCCCTATGCCTCAGTTTACCTATCTGTAAAGTGGGATCAGGTGACCCTTACCCCATCTACCCCAGTGTGCGTGGTGCTATGACAGAGCTTGGGACACTGACGATGGTATTCCTAAGGTGGAGCTGGTGAGTATTGCTTCTGTTGCTATTTTGCTGATGAAGCCCTTCTGCCTGGCAGATCTCCCCATCCTGGCTCAGGAATGGGCAGAACTAAAGTCTACCCATATGTGACCACTGAGGTACTGCAGACAAGAGGCAGGACTTAAACTCTGAATCCTTAAGGCAACTGCTCTTCACTCATCCCTCATTTATTCACTCATCACACAGAGCTACTCCTCTCTTATGCCAAGGCATCGTTAAGAGATGAACAAGGACTGGATACAATGATGTGCACCTGTAATCCCAGCTACTTGGGAGGCTGAGGCAGGAGGACTGCAAGTTTGAGGCCAGCCTTAGCAATGCAGTGAGGCCCTGAGCAACTTAATGAGATCCTGCTCAAAAAATCCAAAGGAGGGCTGGGATATAGAGCACTCAGCTATAGAGCACTCGCCTACCACAGGCGGGACCCCGGTTTGATCCTCAGCACCACATAAAAATAAAGACATTGTATAAAAAAAAAATTGCTTTAAAAAAAAATCCAAAGGGCTGGGGATGTGGCTGAGTGGTAAAGCACTTGTGGGTTTAATTTGCAGTACATAATAAGAAGAAGAAGAAGAAGAAGAAGAAAGAAAGAAGGATGAACAAGGAAGGATGTGTGTGTCTCCTACCCTCACAGAATTCCTAGTCAGATGGGGGAGGCTGAAAACACACACACACACACACACACACACACACACATTCACACACACACACACACAGCATTAACATAATAACAGCTAGTATTTATTGAGTCCTTGCTATGTGCTAGAAATGATTCTAAGCACTATATATGCATTAATTCATATGATCATTCCCATTTTGAAGTGAAGAAAAGTGAAGCACAGAGAAGGTTAGTAACTTGCCCAAAGTTACACAGGTAGTAAGTAACAGTCTCCTGGGTAGTGTGTCTAGAGGTTGAGCTCTTAGAACGTGGTACACACAGCATGCATGAACCTACACTAATCAGGGTGAAAGGACAGCGAAGAAAAGGCCTTGCTGAGTCTCTGAAAGAGTGGAGGGGCAGGACCAGGTGAAACAGGCCGCACTTGCAGCTGGACAGATTTGCAGGTGTCTCAGAAAAGGAGCCCCTGGGATGTTCTCCAAGGCAGGAGGCTGGTAGGCTTTCTTGAAGACAGCAGAGGGCTGGTTTGGATCAGTTTCCCAGCCTCCCTCTGCTTGAAGTCCTTTCCAACCCCAAACTCGGAGCTTTGTGGTTAGGAGCTTGTGACACCTGCCCCACAGATAATTTGAACTTTCCAATCCCCAAGCCTGTCAAGTCCTTGATCCTCCTCTGTCTATAGGCTGCAGGAGCTGTGAAGCAGGACCCAGCGTGCCTAGAGTATTGCTTAGGGAGCAAGCAACAGCCAAGTCATTTAAGCCAAAGGAAGGGACTTATTGACAACCCAAGAGGACAGGAGTGTGCCTGTGTGTGCATGTGCGATGCTCACTCATGGGGGTGAAGGTGGAGTTTAAGGACTGTCATGTTGCAAAAGGTACTGCCAACCAGGCACGCCTGATATCCCACCACTCGGGAGGCTGAGGCAGGAGGATCACAGGCCAGCCTGGGCAACTTAGAGAGATCCTATCTCAAAATGAAAAATTTAAAATTTAAAAAGGGCTGGGGATGTAGCTTGGTGGTAAAGAGCCCCTTGGTTTCACCCCCAGCACCAAAAAAAAAAAAAAAAAAAAAAAAAAAAACC